GGGGGGAATGTAGTGTTTGTAGAAGCTGGTTTTTGTGTTGTGGCGCTTTTTTAAATTTGTTTTTAACACCCCTTTTTTCTGGGTCTATGGACTTTATGTTCCTGATATTGTCCTGTGTTATTCTACATTTTCTTTTTCAGATTAAAAACCAGCCTTTGTCTGCTATCATGGACGCAAAACTGGAGAACCTATGCCACATTTTCCATTTGTGGACTTTCACAGATGTTCATAAGAGAACTCCTGTTACCAGGCAGAGGTTTCTCAGTGAGTGAGTGAACTGCTTTTTCAGGTAATGTTTATGCCAAAAGAAAGTCATCAGGTTCGCACTATATGTGGGGAGTTAAAAGTCGGGAGATGGGCCACTCTGGTTGCTCTTCTTGCTTTGCTGAAAAGGAGAGAAATACTTTTCTTCTCCTTAAAAGGCAGATACAGCTCCCTTCTGACTTACCCAATTTTCTCCAAGCTGATGGACTTACTACTGATAGCTAGGAGAGAAGCAGAGAAAATGGAGATGGATGATCTCTGTTCCTGATGAGAAGGAGCAGGGTTACGGTCAGGGGCAGGCATAAAATCAGAGAGCTGCAGCATCACAGAGGCAGCATGAAGCTGCTCTCCTCAACACAGGTGGCTGCCTTTGTTTCCCCAGTTTAGGTATTATGCACAGCAGAAGCACTTGGAAGCAAGCATTACTCACTGCAAAGGAGAAAGGTCCCACACTTTCCTCACCTGGCTCCCTTTCTTCAGACAGCACTATTTTTTTAAAAAAAGCCAACAAAACCCAGAAGCAAAACCAGTCTGTTAAGGTGACAGAGCTTTTTATTGCTTGCATCAGTATCCAGAATCTCTCACTGTCCTTACAGATCTTTTTGTTGTGATTTTAGCAGTCTCGTCCACCTTAAACTACATTTATCTATGCCAAATAGGTTTCTTGCATAGGCGCACGTGCCATCCGTCTCCTCTATACTGAGAACGTTTTGAGTTTGAATGGCCCTTACGGAAATAGCATAATCACAGCACTGGCTATATGATATCGAGTTATGCAGTCCTAGCTTCATTCAACCACAAATTAACTCGATCCTTTTAAAAGTGGATTATAGCATTCTAATTTACTGATAAATGCATTTACAATCATAATTTGTAACATTGCCATACAGCATTCTAATTTTTAAAAAATTACCCTTTTTTGAAACATACAGGCTAATACTATAGGAAAAAAACACTTCCTCCATCATATAAAAAAATAGCACATTAGAATTCCTAATACCATAAAATCATTTTAGTCTGTTATTATATTTTCTTCTTCTTGCACAATTATGTTAACTTGAAACCAGCCAGAATTTCTGATTCACAATAAATTCAAAATTCAATTTTAAATCTATGATTTATTTTTATTACCAGAATTATATCTTGGGTTTGATTTAAACAAATTAAACCAGTCTTCAATATGTCCCAAAAGACGTTCACATTATTTCAATTTACAGAATAAAGCAGAACATCCATCTCGCTTAAGGTCCTGAAAAGCAAGCCATGTTCTGTGGACTGAAAGAACTAATTTCAAACACAATTAAAAAACTTAGTATTCCAGAGCCTCTGTATCTTTTCTGGTTGTATTTTTTTCCTATTACATTTAACTTGTGGCTTTTAGAAATGCAGGCTATTACATGAAGTATGCAGGTATACTCTTGAACGAATAAGAGTAACAAAACCCTCTGCCATTTTCTCTACGTTTTCTTTTCCTGGATAGATAACCGCCCTTTGTACGTACAAATCCGCCCGAGCTGACAGCTGCAGGAGACGACCGAGCCCGGATGCTCCGGGGCGAGGCCAGGCAGCCGAGGACGAGCTTCGCCACCAAACTGTGTGATTGAAAGAGCTTATTGTGACTGGCTGATAGGATTCCAACTATTAACCAATACCAGCGTGGCCTTTAAAAAAGACCAATTACGAAGCCTGTCGTAAGGACAGTGACGACACTTGTTTCGTTATCCAATAGAAGCACTGATAGCTGAGGCCAGGGATTTGCATAAGGTCCCTATAAATGTGGGAGTAATCGCATTATTGGCCACTTCGGTGTTCCAGAGCAGGCAGCGAGTTGTCGCCATGCCTGAGCCGGCTAAGTCAGCCCCCGCGCCCAAGAAGGGCTCCAAGAAGGCGGTGACCAAGACGCAGAAGAAAGGCGACAAGAAGCGCAAGAAGAGCCGCAAGGAGAGCTACTCGATCTACGTGTACAAGGTGCTGAAGCAGGTGCACCCCGACACGGGCATCTCGTCCAAGGCCATGGGCATCATGAACTCCTTCGTCAACGACATCTTCGAGCGCATCGCCGGCGAGGCCTCGCGCCTGGCGCACTACAACAAGCGCTCCACCATCACCTCGCGGGAGATCCAGACGGCCGTGCGGCTCCTGCTGCCCGGCGAGCTGGCCAAGCACGCTGTCTCCGAGGGCACCAAGGCTGTCACCAAGTACACCAGCTCAAAGTAG